CATACTAGGATACGAGAGGCCATCCGTTACTTTAACTGTAATGCAATGTACTTAAGTTTGTCATGGCCGTTAATAATTTTCGTTAATTTCCTGGATTTGTGATGTTTTATAATCTTTTTTTATACCAAATTTCAACAAATATAAGGTTTGAAAGCCACTCGAGGCAGAGGGTTACGGTTAAGAAGATAATGATTTGTGTGATATGAATGGTCTGACTTATCGGGTGGGATCATCCCCGTGATGAGGGCTAGACCCCCAAACCGGCGACACTTGTTAACTCCACCAAAATCTACCTTTTTGACTCTCGGCCAAATGAAACCTAAGTTTTTCAATTACAGGCCAACGAAACCTATGTCTACCTTACTATTGTACGACAGAATTTGACATTAAATAACTTGAAAATAGTTTTTTTTTGTTTAACTCTATATTAGCCAGTAAAGCCAACAAAACACAAGTGGTTATTGAGTGTGAAAGAATAAGAAAAATGAAACATTATTAAGAAGCGAATACAATTGACGTTTAATCAAGATAACGATTTACATTGCATTTAAATTTTTGAAGATCAAAGTTGGCGGGAAAGCATGGAGCCTACAAGCGAGAAGTGAGATAAAAAAAATTGTTAGCAAAGAACTTACGGTTATATTTATCCAATTTAATTGTCAATTGATGAGACGTTGCCGCCAATATAGTACTGAGCTTAAATTTATAAAGTCTAGGTACCATAGGGAAGAGAGTTCACCAGAACAATTACCATGAAAGTATTTATAGGAAAGGCACAGAGAAGCTATATTACTGAGGTGAGAAAGTGACTGAAGCCGAGACCCCAGGTCAGGACCAATAATATTGCTGATTCTTCTTTGGATTTTATCAAGAATCTCTAAATATGCCTCAGAAGCACCGGACCATGTATGGCAGTAATATTCAACACATGGGCGAATGGTAGACTTATAAATATGTAAGATAGATTTTTATGCCTTAAAACAAAATAAACAAAAGCTTGAAGTAAAGAAAAATTTGGGAAAAACTTGTTTGAGTGGTTTTGTTTGGAGCACGGAAGAAATTATGGTCATTTGTATCCTTGGAAGTGGCATTAATTGTCATCGCTATACATTTCTAAATTGGTAGAATTAGAAGTGACTTGAACTTTGAATAAAACCCTCTATAATCATAAATTGTTTACAAGACAGTCAGCTCTACTGGCTATATAATTTTCAACTCCAGAAAAGTGTCGTCAATATGGAAGAACATAATTTTATTATATTTCACTTGTATAAATATCAAAGTATGCGATAAACATATGACTTTGATGAATCATGATCGGTGAATCATTCATGATTTGCACAAAGTGTTTTTGAAAGGTCTCCTAAGTTTTGTTGAATTAATGTGTTTAAAAGATATTGCCGCATGAATCGTGTTCATCATATCAGAAATGATGTTGCCGTTTCATTAAGCTCGTCTGACGTTATTCAAGAAAATATCTAATGAGCCATAAATATATATTCAGCTTTACAAAATCTAGTTTTTATTATGCAGTCCGAAGCCTCCATGGAAAAATATAAATGCTTCGTTATAGGGATATCAGATAAAAAGAAAAAAACATTGATCTGCTCTTTGAATGAAATAGCAAGATTGCTAAATTTCAACGTTATAATTAATTTGTTCTTAAAAATTGGTCAACATAAAAACCATTCATTTTTATATCATAAATATCCTTCTAAACACCGTGTCCATTCAGGATGTAAGTGATCATGCCTCTCCATAGCTTCCTATTGTTTTTAGTCTATTAGCTATTTGTCTTACTATATCTCTCGGCCCTCTGTTGCCATCCATTTACACAATCTGTTTTGGTAGGTTATTCGCTGTTTTCTTCTGTCCATCGTCTTCAATATCAGTGTGTGTTAAATTTTCCAAGTCTTCTTTCCTCATGATGTTTTCTAGAAATTTCAACAGTCTCTTTCTGATTGTAAGTATAACTGTCTTTTCCCCCTATTTCCGTAATACTTCATCGTTTTATGTACATTCCGTCATTAGTAATCTTAGTGTCGTTCTGTTGAAATACATAACTGTTACCTCAGGTTTCCTCTTCATAAAATGTCCAGAAAACCTCAGTACTCACTGCCATATACAAGGACTGATATAACAGTTCAGTAGCCTTTTCTTTGTTTTTAACGAAAGTTTCAGTCAATCACTTATGGGCCATACGTGATACACGCTTAGGCGATCATGTATCTTTTAATACATGACTGACGAGGTAGATTTTTTCGCGCAGTAAATTACCATTTCTTTCTGCGGTAGACCAACCAAGTCTATAGAGCCCGGTCTGTCCTGCTATTTTCCCATAGCTTGGAGGAGAACAAGAGGATTCATACCTTTTCCAACTCGGCTCTCCGATTCCTCAATCCATTACTCCATAGTTTTCTATTTCTTAATACTTTGCTTAACATTTCGAAGGCATTTTTTCGTTGCCTCAATGCTCACTCGGATTTCGGTGTGGCACTTTCCGTCCTCTGTTAAAACACTTCCCTGATATTTAAATTGTTAATGTTGTGATAGTTTTTGATAAAAAAATAGTGCGTAACGATGCAAATGATCCCCATACTTTGTAACCAGTCCCCTAAGACGGTCTCCAATTGAGGGTGTGACACCCATGTCGTTATGGCTGCCTCATCTTTCAAACTACTACTTCTCATCAAAGAGTTGGCTTCTCGGAGTTAAATTCGGGCAACTGACAAGTAAACGTGTAGTACAAAACGAAATAATTACTGTTTTTTCTTTGTCTTTGATTGACTTTTATTGGACATAAGCTTTCCACAGATTTACCATCTTTGCAATTAAACTTAACGTTGATATTCTTTAGTTTCCTCAGCTCACCGTTAAATTTATGGAGAATTGAAAGGTTTTGGATTACTTTCATTTTTCCTTCTTATCCGGCTATTTTCAGGCGAATATTTCTATGATCCCTTTTTTCTGTGTTTACGGCAACTACATCCAGTTTCCGTGATATGATAGATCTTAAAGTATTTTATTTTTTTCAAGACACTTTTGTGCTGATACCATTTTTTTCATAAAACAACCAAAATAATTTGCACAGTTTCTACTGTATGACTCTTCCTACTCTGCCATGTCTTTTTTAAATAAGCGTTTTTATCCAGCTTACTTTATTATCCTTTCATTTTTTTCTCTAAAAATGCGCTATTTATTTATTTATTCTTTAATGGGTCTTGATTATTTTTGCTTTGATGTAATTAATCATGAATAATTCGTTCTAGGCAGCAATGATAAGTAATTCCGTTTCTCTTTTTAAGTCTCCTCTGCGTAACCGTGATTCAGCCTACTTTGTTTTACGATTTTATTTATCGTTTCATTTTTCTCCACAAATGAGCTATCTATTTATTTATTTATTCTCTTAATGGGATTTGCTTATTTTCGCTTTGATAGAGTTAATCATGAGTCATTCGTTCTGTTTCCCTATTCAAGTGTCCTTTGAGTAACCGTAATGATTGTGTCTTTGCAATCGTTTGTATGCACTTTTTTTTTTTTTAAAGCCTCAGCAATGAATTGTCTTTTACAATTTTTTCTTTGTTACTGTTCTCGCTATTCCTACAATTATTTTCCTTTTATCTCCTCCGGAATTGCTTCGAACAGTTTTTATATTTTCAAATCAAATTTCTAACTTTACTCAGTATCCCTGAAGCAGATGAAACTTCTTCCCTCTTTTTACTTTTCCACATATAATCTGTCGATGTTACCCATGGAGAATAAAGACTTATTCATACTTATTAAATTTTTGCTTTGTCAATCCACTGATTTGATTTTCTCTTTTGTTAAACAGAGGAAGGCTCTTGTATATCACTCTAGTGAGACTGTATACGTGTTTATTCATTTTTAAGGAAATTCCTATTGTTTCTTTTGATTTTCAGTATTTTTCTTATCCCCCTAAAATATTCTTTGCATTTTATTTCATTGAATCCTGCTATAATGAGTTGCATTTGAGTGATTGTAGTTATTTATAGCGTTCTTTAGGGTTACTGTCTTATTCATACGTGCATCGAATATTGCTGCAACATCTGGTCTGGTGCTTCTGTTTCATATCTAGAGATTCTTCACAAAATCCAAAGAATCAGCAACGTTATTCTTTTTGACATGTCATCTCAGCTTTAGTCGGTTTCCAACTTCTCTTACGTAGCTTCACTTTGTCTTTTCTAGAAATGTTTTCACAGTAATTGTTCTGATGAGATTTTTCGCGTGGGTATCCCTATTTTATGCATTTAAGTGCAGTACTTGATTGGCAGTTAGGTCTAATAAATTCACGGTTGTAATTGCCTGTTTTAAGTCTATGCTTAATTTTTTACACCGCATGTTTGTGGAAAACTCCTTACTGATCTGATTTGTTTAGCGGCCTATCAACAGCTATGGTTAATTAATGCCGAAATATAAATAATCGGAACACAATTTTATGGCTTCAATATTGAATATATTTTGATCGCAGTTGTACACTTTCAAATGCAGATAAAATATATTGCTGGTTATTGTGCTTTAAAATGTATTATTAGTCATTATACTATATGTAGGGTTGCTTTTTATATGTAAAAATGTATTGCTGGTATTTTTACTATAAAAATATATTTTTATGCATTCATAGTGTTTGGGTGGTTTACTATTTGCCCATAGCTGGAACCCTAACAGGTGTTACCACTCCGGATCAGGGTGGACCTGGGAACAACAGTAATTAATAGGTGGTTCCATTTTCCTCAAAACCTCCAATCTCCCGATCAGAGGCCTGGCTGCCAGATGTAGTTCTCTTTAACGTCATTTACGATCTTCAAAAACTTTAATTCAGTTTCAATCGCCATCGTCTGTTTTTATTTGAATCCTGTTTTTTCTATTTCCCCTTCTGTTTCTTTCGGTATACCCCTTTGCATCTTATTGGCTTTATTGCCTTACCTAGGATGAAATGATTAAAGGGGTTGCTTCTCTGTTTTCTCTTCGGCCTTATTTAGGGTGACTATTTCTCTTTTTTTTGGGAAATCCATGCCAACGTCATTTACATGATTCTTAACTCCTTTCATAAACGTTTTCGGATCTTTGTTACTCGCTTACAGTTTTAACTCATCCGTGTAAATGACATGGTTTATTTTGTCCATCGTTAGAGATTAGTTGTTATATTTCGTTACAATTTTTCAGGAATAGATTCAATCGTATCTGTTTTATAACATATAGCAGTAGATTCGATTACAAAAAGACTATTTGAACGACCGTTTGATACTGACTAACATTCTTTATCAGCAATAAAGTCTCTTTGCTAATTTCGCATGGCGTTTACCACTATTTCATTTATCTTGAATACATTAAATCATGTTTGTAGTCAATCAATTTTTACAACACTAGGAATCGATGGGTTGCAGTAGAAAAAAAGTGATCGCAAGTCTGTTCCTAAACTTGCATTCAATTTAGCATTTGAGCCTCTGTATATATTGGGGCAATTTCTTCTTGTTCTTCTATGAGGTCATATGAAAATTGCATTAACATAAATATTTTCTTGTTCTAGTTTACGAGAACTGGATCTGGTTTTCCTATTACCTTTTTATTGTAACTCTCTGGCGCTCAAGACTTATATTAGGTAAATTTTATTATAGAAAATCTCCTTTTGTCGCGACCCATTTTATTTATCTCGCGACCCACAGATGGATCGGGACCCACAGTTCCAAAATCCCTGGAAATTTTTGGAGGGTCACTTACAAACTCTGGTATCATCTACATAGATATTTACTAACGGTATGAGAATTTTCTTTCCCAAACACATAAAGAAGTGTGAAGAGGAAGAAAAGTAAAGGAGTTATAGAAATATAAAGGCTTATAAGAAAAAAAATCAACATCGATCATGTAGTTATATACATTCAGATAATTACTAATTTCCTTCTTTGTTTAGACATTATCTGGTTGATCGTATTGTTTTATAGATTTTTCGTTAAGCTTACAACAAGGGCGATTATCCTCATATCCAAAGAATCTCGATGGATAAAAATTTGATATATTGAGTTATTTCAATAATTGATATTTGGAAACCAGCATGTTAAAAGGAGCTTCTTCATAGAGAAAATCTTATCAGCAATTTGGAATATCATTTTCCAAATGTGCAATTAGCGGGAAGATATCAACCTTGATTTCAGCTAATAGACTAGATTTCGGATGTAACATGAAAATAGGAAGATGTTTACTTCATATGGATCTGCATGTAGTGTAATGGTTCAGGTTTCGGAACGACTTCGAATTCCTGCCAAGTTTGTTACAATCACAATAGAAACTCCGGTTGAAAATTCGGGCAAGCAACTCCATCCTGTAAAAAAAAAAAGCGTACTTACTACAAAAAACACAGTGACAAAGCCTAACGTGTTGTGAGCTGTAGTCCGATAATCCTTACTGGAGTTTACGGGGCTTTTTAATTAGGGTTACGTAAAACGTTGTGAGGAAATTCTTTACTATCTGACATGTTAATAAAATAATATTGAAATTATTTGTTCTTTACGTATACTCCAGACAGTGAAAGCCCAGGGATTGTTTGGTTTTATCATTTCACCCCAAGGAAAACAATAAAGCCACTAGGACGCAAGAGGTTACTGAGTGTTAGAGAATATAAGAAAAGAAAAACACTATTAAGGTAAAAGAGCAATCAAAGAACATGAATTAAGAAGACAGAAGGTTGACCTTGCATTTAAATTTTTGAAGATCAAAGTCCCCCGAAAAGCAAGAAACTGGAAGCGAGATCCACAAGCGAGAAGTACGAGAGAAGGAACTGTTTGCATAGAACTTACGGTTACATCTAACCATTACACTTGAAACCTTACGGCCAAGCTAGTACTGCACTTAAATTCATAAAGTCTATGTACTATATAGGAAAGTTCATCAAAAGAATTACCATGAAAATATTTATAGAAAAGTATTTTATAAAAGTTATTTTTAGTGGTTACCCACATGGGGGTAGACGTTTATATATTTAACAGTATATTTATTTATTTTTGTCTATACTCGAGAAATCCTAATAAATAAAAATATGCACTCTCCGGAAGGATTCGAACTGCGTCCCCTCTGAAAAGTATTTATAGATAAATAAGTAACAATGTTTATGTTTTCAATGCTGGGTTCAATCAAGATTTTCCAATCGCATCATGTGAGACCCAAGCGAATATGGGCCAGTTTATTAACCATAAGCTTTAGCAGCTGTATTTTATGTTTGGAAATTTCGACCCTTGAATGAGCAATTTAACCAGTCCCCATCGCAGGTAAAGGGACAGAGGAAAATAGCAAATAGCCTACCTAATTAGCTTTTGTTAACGAATATGAGAACAGGTATCATGAAAGATACTACATTGACAAACCTTACTAAGAGCTAAAATGATAGGAAATAACCGATTTTGAGAGACGGCGGGCATTAATCTGTATTACGTAGAAAGCTATAATTAACATTTTATAAAAACAAAATTAATACCTGACTTTTATAAACCGGTCTTAAAAAACAAACTATAACTGATACGTGATTCTAATAATTAATTATTAATACTGGATTTTATGTTGGGCATTGATGAACAAAGATTCCGACCAGATATAAAGTAGGTAGGATTGGTTCTAAGAAATGCAAAGAAAGCAGTTTTAGTTCCGCTTATTTTCTTCTTTTATATTTGATGAGATATTTGAAATAACCTCTCCATAAAATCACTACGACTATTTGAAAAGGACAATTGGAAACTATAATAACGGAGGATTTTGCATGTCATCTTCGGAAATGATATTTGTTTTCACCTTCAAGATTGAACTTAAATTAATCTAATGCGTATGTGATTTAATAGCATCAGTTGTATTAGTCATTACCTTTTTTATATATTACGTCACAATAAAATACCCTTTCGGCTTTATATATATATATATATATATATATATATATATATATTTTATATATATATATATATATATATGTGAAAAGTGTATAAATATAAATAAATATATATGTATAATTATTTATATATTATATATACACGTACGTATTAAAGCGCTCAAGTGTTTGTCTGACGATCGCTAAAGCGTGAAACCCAGGGTCACAAACTCACATCTATCCAACAAATATATATATATATATATATATATATATATATATATATATATATATATATATAAAAATACAAGGTTTCTTTTATATTTACACCTTTTTTTCTTAATTTTATTCTCATTTCAATTCTCCCCTTGCATTGCAAGTTCACCAACGTAAGGATAAAAGCGACGAAACTTGAAAGAAAACTTTAGCATTTAGTTACTTTATATATAGGAAAATTTGGGACTAATTCATTCTATAAAGTTTGAAAAAATGCGCTTGTTAATTATCTTGAAACGGACTGGTTGGATCTCCTGTACTTAGTAGTTAAAAAAAAAGTCATAAAACCTTGAAAGTAACTTCTTTTCACACCATTGGACCCGGCATGTTCTGGGCGAATAGAGGTCTTGTGCTCACGCGCACACACCCATATGGATTTTATTTATAATCTAATAATATTTTTATTATTTTAAGCGTCATATTTATTGGCTGTTAGAATTGACTGCTTTATATACCTACCAGCCTGTGTAATGATAGTCTTAATAAAGATAATGTGCCTCCCGACATGGTTGGAACTAGCGCTTCCTTTATTGTAGATCTATAATCTTGACGTTCTTTTAGACAACTCAGCGACAGAAGACATTTAGTCAAGTAAAATTCAAATATTGTATTACGTGCCCCAACTGAGTAAATACGAGGGCAAGTGAAAACTCATCCGCACTTTCGCCACAGCATATATTTAGATTTTCACACTACCTTCTGTTCATTCGTGCTTATAGTTGGTACTATTATGGTCACGGGATCAACGTTTGAAATGGATCGCGCTAGTTTTCTTGCTGCTGTTACAGTGTAAACATGTCCGCTCCGCTATCTAAAGTGAAATAAGGAGGAAAATAATTTTGAAAATGAAAGGATTTTGCTTTTATATACAAGTTGGTAAAACATATCCCTTTAAGAACTATTAGCAAGATCTTATTATGGCTATGTTAGTTAAAGAAAACGAGATGGAAATGTTTTGAATTTTGTCGTTCTCGTCATGGATATCGAAACCTTTGTAGATTTAACAAATTTAGTTATTTGGTAGTACAAACGAATTAAGGAAAAAAAGGTTTATTTTTTACTCAAGAATAGATTTGAAAATTCTTTAGCAAATCTCGACGAATGATCACATGTATTTTGGGAATAAGTTAAACCGAAACTAATATACTTTTATCTATCTATCTATCTATCTATCTATCTATCTATCTATCTATCTAACAATCGACTTCACTAGACTGACAATTTACTAAGAAAAACTTGTACCCACAACTCTATCGAAAACGAAACAAATGAGCTACACATATAATTCACCCACAAAATAAACTTCAGTTATAAAATATTACCTAATTCAATTAAATAAGTAAATTTGATTAAGTTTATTTAATCAAATAACATACTTTAACGCCTTTATCCACTGTGGATAAAGGCGTTAGTTAGATCCAGTGACAGGACCCAATGAGTCTGAGTTCAATACCTGGTTATGGCGGTGGAGAACTTGGAGAAGAGAATTAACAGGGGATAACTGACATTCATTAGACATGGCACGTGGAACTAGAACAGTCTACCCCAGTGAGCGAAATAAAGTTCAGTTCGACATTCCGACTACCTGAAGAAGGTCGGAGCGTACAACGACCGAAACGTTGTGATAAATATGACAACAAAGATGAAGACAATAGTCCTAATAATGTAAATAGTGTAGGAAAATATGATTTTTGAAAATAAAAACAATTTTACCATTCTAAAAAACCCAGAGAGAAACTAGAGGAAAATTTTATCTATCTATCTATCTATCTATCTATCTATCTATCGATCTATCGATAGATAGATAGATAGATAGATAGATGGCCATCCAAGGAAAGTGCTTAGAAACGATACCAAACGTCGACTAAAGCCATTTGAATGAAATTTGGATTGACGGAACTGTTCAGAAACCGTCGATGGTTTTGCTGTTGCGAAGTCATATGTCATCGTGGCTGAAGATTTGAGCGTACTGATTAGTTCAAATTGCTGATAATGATAAATTAATCGCTCAGTCACAGAAACTGTAACTACAGTCAGCTCAGCCTAGTTACAGTATACACTAGAGGGCTACGTGGGTGTTGAAAATACATAAATCAGCCTGAGCAGGTGTCTGCAACAGGGATGAGCTAGCCGCCCTAACAGAGCGGTGTTCTCGAAAAACGAGAGTAGCCGGCAGTTATTATAGTCCGGAGAAAATTATAAGATGCTTAAATAATTACAATTTTTGGCCTCGTTGTAAGTGTAATCGTTTTTAAATAGCAGCCTTTAACTTTCGGTCTCGATAAACCGAATTAAAGTAGGAAGTGCAATTTTCCAGTGTTATTTCCTCTTTTAATCTGACATTATTAATATATGTCGGATGTTGAGATTTCCTTCTGAAGCTCGTGACAAACTAACAACTTCTTGAATTTAAATGGAACATTGGAATGCAATGTAATAAAGATAATACATTTTCAAAGCGGAAATAAAAATAACAATCAAACCAAAAGATTTCGTTCGAGGAAGTTCATTTTGTTTTTCTTTCTACGGCCTGTTCAGAAGTATTTACTGGTTATTGCATTATAAGATAAATTATTAAATAAAAGATGAAAACAATTTAAAGTAGGAAAATAATTATAAACAATGAAAAAAAAAGAACACTAAACAATGAACAAATCCAATGTCGAATCAGTTCACATCCATGTCAGGCCATCTAACTCGTTATTTAATTAATGACTCGTAAGTCGGGAAAATAAAAATGATAAATGACTTATCTATTGATTATATCAAGATCATTATTTCCCGCCTTCTGTAGCCAAATATTTCGCATATTGCGATTTATAAATTAGCACAATTAGTAATTATTTATTTATTATCTTGTGATTAAATTAATTATCTTAAAATCTTCGGAACGACATCAAATCATCTGACTGAAGCAAAATTTGACCTGGCTCTACAGCCATGGGAAAAGCTTATATACCCTATGTAATATGATATTTTTCAATATTTTTAGGCCTGTGAATATTTAGTCTTCATTTCAATTTCTTTAGAGATAGACCTTATATAACTAACTAAATAAATATTTTTTAAGAAATTATCTGTAATGTTTCATTAATAGACACGCGATTTCCTTGTAAGGAAAATATTAGATTCACCAGCGTGTATTTATACTTAAAATAAATTAGAATCACGTATACTACTATTATGAATAATCAAGAGTGGTCTCCCCTTGTTTTGTTACTCTCCTCTTTGAGAGAGCTATTTCTGTTTATTGGGACTCTAAGAGAACACTATATGCGGATCTTGTATTCTCAGTTGAATAAAGCTTTCTGAAAGCTTATACCTGCGTACTTTTATCACTAGAACCACATAAAAGGCAAATGACTAGAATATCATTAGAGATGATGTGGGAGGAGCCTCTCACATTTGATGTCAATGTAATATTCTCGTTGTCGTAGTAAAGCAGAAAAGATAAGGAAAGACAGCACACATCCCGGGTAACACTTGTTTGAACTGTTACTTTCAGTGCAATGTTTTACTTCTATTAGTTTATAGGACAAAGCGCTTGAGAGACCGTTTTTATCCTCGGGTCCTGAGTGAAATTATCGCTACCGCAGATTTGGGCACTGTGTAAAATGATCGCTGCCGCACGCTTTGTCCTTGTATAAAATGAATGCTACCGCACACTTGGACCCTGCGCAATATGAATTCTGCCATATGCTTGGGCCCCGCGCAAAATGATTGGACCTTGTGCAATATGACTGCTGACCTATGCTTGGGTTCTGCGTAAAATGATCGCTGCCGCACACTTAGACCACGCGTTAAATGAACGCTGACGTATGCTGACAATTTTTAACGTATTTTATTACATTTCTTCATTCGGTGCTGTGTATGTGTTTGCTTTCATCTCTTGTGCATTTATGTATGTTTGTTAATGCACCTGGAGACTTTTGTCCGATTTCATTGAGCACTGTACAATGATAGGTGGAAATAAATAAACAGATAGATCTATTATTAGAAAGAGATTGAAAAAGTTTGATTTGGACGTGAAATGTACAATGAAGAAACCATTCTGTAAACAAAAAAGCGATGAAGTCAACACAAAAATTTAAGAGAAAAAAAATCACTGAGAGAATGACCAGGAAAATTGGAGCAATGTACGTTGGGCAGATGACTCGAAAATATTTGGCTACTTTAACAGAAAGCATGTTTGGAACTAACCAATGACGGCATTTGAGTTCAAGAAACTCATACCCACTTTAAAGGATAGTGCGTGGAAATATGGTTTGCGGCTGTTTGCTGCACCAGGGTTCGTCAGTTCACTATCATAGAATCCAAGATGATTTCTATAATGTACAAGAGACTCGTTGAGAAAAGTGTGATACCACCCGTTAAAAAATTGAAGCTGAAGTGGTTGTGGACTATGTATGATCGAAAACTTTCTGTAAATCCATCAAGTAATGGCTTGAAAGAAGTTCAGATATCTGCTATTAGCAAGACAAAGTACCGAAAAGGAATAGGATAAACATTCTCCAAAACGAGATTGGTAGATAATTAGCTTTGGAGCGGGTAGAATGGAGATCAATGTGTTTTAGTGGACTCAGAAATTTTCAATCTGCTTGTCTGAATCATGTTCAAGAAGCGAGAGCATGATCTAAAGGGTCACCCAACCTAACAGTGATATCATCTCACAATCCTCACACTTGCTCCATATGAGGCCTCCTTTGTAAATCACTGGCGGGTCTTAAATGCCACTTAAGATTATCGCATAAACTTTCATAACTGAATCAACAAGCTGTCAATGGGAGAGTCCATTATATATATATATATATATATATATATATATATATATATATAGAGAGAGAGAGATAGATAGATAAATAGATAGATAGATTGTTCATATATCTAATGTTTTGAGATTTATCTAGCAAACTGGTTTAGTTTCAATTGGTCTAGTTTGTTCATATCTCTATCTATCTATCTATCTATCTATCTATCTATCTATCTATCTATCTATCTATCTATCTATCTATCCCGAATGTTACATTATGAGGAATAGGCTAATATTAATAGAAATCATATCCTTTAGCATCTAGTTTGTTCACCTCTCGAATTTTTCTCTTTCTCTCTCTAATTCTGTTTTTTCAATTTAAAACTAGCTAAGTTTTTAGGTTGTTCCTATCTATCTATCTGTCTATCTATCTATCTGGTTTGGTTTCTATGTATCTGCTTGATATTTGCACCAAACGCGCCAATAGAAATATTTCAGAGTGTTTGGGTGTCAATCTGAGGACAGTGCAGAGAATTCGGAAAGAGTTGAATGTTGATTGAATGAGTGATTACGAAGGTACGGCTGTTCGTAAAACTCTGATCGTTCTGATATGAAAAGACCTCCCGAATTTTTGGATGAGGGTGCCAGATTCAACACTGTGGCAGACATCAAGTGCCTTGAGAGTAGTGATACTCTGGATCAAGAGGGTGGCTGCTCGGAGGGGCTATGTCTGGCAACAGGACTCTGCACCATATCACACAAGCAGGAGAACCCAGTCATGCCTGTCAGACAATTTTTGCAACTACATTACCACTTACATCTGGTCACCTAACTCCCAATACGGCAACCCTTTGATTATTATGTACAGGGTGCAGTTAAGCGAGAGACCAAGAAAAAACTCCTTGTAACAATAATGATGAACTAAATTCAAGGATTATGTCAGCATTCATCGATTAAACAAGGAGACCTTTCAGTGGAGATGCAAGACATTCCGAAGTCATCAGGAGGCCGTGGTTGAGGCCAATCGTGATTTTATTGAATACATTTACTTTTTACTATTTGAAGATATATTTGAAAATATTTTTGAAGATATTTTGAATACATTTACTTTTTTTTTACTATTTCAAGACATTTTCGTTTTCATATTTATCACAACGTTTCGGCCGTTTTACGCTCCGGCCTTCTTCAGGTGGTTAGAATGTCGAACTGAACCCTTTATTTCGTTCACTAGGGTAGACTTTCTAGTTCCACGTGCCATGTCTTATGGATCCCTATTAATTCCCCTCTCCAAGTTCTCCACCGCCTTAACCAGGTATTGAACTTACACTTTTTGGGTCCTGTCACTGGATCTAACTAACGCCTTTATCCACTGTGCCATGTGTCCTTGTGTATGAATTTCTGGGTATTATAAACCTAATGCCTTCAGCAACCATTTTTACCAGAGCTTATATTGCAATTTTCTTTGATATTATTGTTTTTCTCTGGCATTCCTTATTACTGGTTCCCATATTGTATTCATTTCTATGCTTGGTCGGCTCCGGAGATTTTTGAGGCCTAGAATATGTGCTGATTCCTTAATTTTACGAATTTTCCAATGATGCTCTTTGTCAAGAATTTCAGCCTGATCCCACAGAGGGCGGTGATCTCCCTTTTCCTTCTATATGGGGTTAGCTACGTTTGATTTTTCCACTTCCCCTCGTGTTACAGCTTTCTGGTGTCCTTGAAGCCTTAATTTAAGGAGGCAGACTGCCTCCCCTTTATATTTCTTTCCGCAGCTGCACGGGATAGCGTACACACAGTCTTTAGTCATGTTCTCCTCTATGGGGGGGGTCTTACTCGGGAGAGATATTTACGAAGTGTCGTTCATCTTTTGAAGGTTGTCCTGACCGCAGACCCTTTGTATTTTCTCTGATAACCCCTTCACATAAGGCAGGCGGACCGTTTTCTGAGTGTTGTTGTCCTCATCTTGTAAACCTTGTGATAAATATGGCAACAAAGATGAGGACGATAGTCCGAATAATGTAAATATAATATCTCATCTCAGAAATATAGACAGTTATTCAAGACTTTTTTGTGGAATTTTGGTAAATATATCTATTAAAATGAAATGTCAATGGTATTTTCATTTTTGCGTAATTTGGGCGAAAATCTATCTATCTATCTATCTATCTATCTATCTATCTATCTTGTCCGTATCTGTCTTTCTGTCTATCTTTCGAGAAAAATTTACTTGAAAATTAGCGATATTCTTATTTCATTAAAATATGATATAGCCAGCCGACAATTATTAGATTCATATATTCCGAACATATTCACGTACTCCTGTTACTAATTAATCGTTAAATTTCTTTTTACTTTGCGTCGCTTTTAATAAACAGTAATTATTTTCCCTTGAATATAACATCTACATCGACAAGTGGAATAGGCAGGAGCAATGTAAAGAATACAGCCTACATTAATAATTATATCTGTTTCCGCTATTGGTGGCTTACGGCTATATCACGTTAAAACAATTGTTCTCGTCCGATCACCGAAGTTAAGCAACGTCGAGCATTGTCAATAACTAGATGCGTGTCCGCTTGGGAATACCAGATGCAGTAAGCTTCGATGTGTGTGTGGTGTAATTGATAAGAGCTTGGAATGAGAAATCGGAGTACTGAGTTCCAATTGGTTTCGGTATATTCACCTCTTCTCCCCAGATATATGTTAAATCGTAAGTCTTGTATCTGAAAAACATTATTATCTATATAAGAAGCTCTTAATACAATAGTCACAAACAAAATGAGAAGTGTCATTCTTACAATTCCAAAGATATCTTTCGGCTTTAGATAACCTATAAAAAAATCAATCTCTCACAAGAGATTTACAGTTGGCATTTTATCTTTCGCTAGATTATGGTATATTTTTACTTCTTCTTCTATCTGCCTATCCTTTCATGACGTTGGCGATTATGACTCTTCACAATAATTTAATTTTTGTCTTTCCTAAACCTTTCATCTGTTCCTCTTGCGTTCAATCTCTCCTTTGAGTATCAAATTTTTCAAGCCCTCTTTCCGCATTATATGTCTTCCTGGTGTTGATTATAAGTGTCCTTTTCGTTTTCTCTAAACTCCGTCGTTTCTCTCATGCTCGCTCAATGGAATTCTCATCATCCTTCTGTTGTTTTAAGTCTCTTTTTCATATGCGAGGAGATTGTCAAGCATTCACTGCCATATAGAATAAATATCTTGAAACATTAATTTTTAAGAGGAGATGCGTTAAAAAGATAAAGAAATTCTCAGAAAGTTTCTTTCTTTGTCAGTCGCTACCAAAGGCTAAATTTGCAAATCTATTGTTTGTAGTTTTTCTTTTAAACTATATCTTCCTGGCGTCAGTTCAAATGGCTGCCTTCTTTTTTCTATATATCATTTATCGTCCTCAAACGAACATTTTTAATCTTTTCTTTTCAACCATTTCCCTGATCCATAATTCTAACCAGTTCTTTCTTTTCTGATTCCGCTCTCATCTTTGATTTTGTCAATAACGATTCTTATTAACTTACTAGCAGCATGGCTCGGCGTTGCCCGTACTTGATTCAAAAATCGTACGACTCATACAGCAATCGCTATCACTTGACTTAAAATATTTTTGCCTTTCCTTGCCTTTAAAGGAGTGCCCTTTGCTATGCTGATGTTACTACATGCCTTACTTCTTGCCTATCTCACCCTGCGAATTTTTCTAAGCTCTATACTAAACATTAAATCTCTTACGAAAAAAGAACTAAACAAAATGAACACAAAACGATCAGCTTTAAAAAAGGACTCGTAACTGGAAAAACCGAATGAAAAAAGAATGTTAACAACAAATTCTTTTTCACACGCAACCCAGTTCTGCGGAATCAGAATCAACGTTGAGTTTAAGCAAGTGAATGAGCCAATTGGAGTAAAGTGCCATGCAGATTTAAATTTTTTCCATTTGTAACGAATGCAGCTATCGATTTTTTTGCATGCTAGCATGCTAGTTAACATTGGTGTCAGTCAGCTGTTGGCTCTCACGCTGGCCAATAGAATCTTCCTGCCTATTCGTGGCAGCCAGTTATGGGCTCTCACTCTGGCCAGTAGAAAATTACATGAAAAGTGCCGTAGAAGCATGAAAAAATCGATTATTTCCACTATCGATGGGAGTTGGGAAATGCAAAGTCGGTCTTGGCCTTCCCGCTAACTTGGAGCATGTAAATTTTGGTGCAAATACGTCGAAAATTGCGGCCGTGCATTCGTTAGACACACACATCTTGCCTTTTATAGATAGAGATTAATCTTTTTTCTGTAATTTATATCCCAGAGTTTAAGCTGATGCACAACTTGTGTACTTCTCCAACACTAAACATCACCCACCTTTCACAGACTGTATCCATAACATTACATAGATTCTTGTATAATTCGACACTGGGCTTATGTTGTTTACAGCTGAGATTTAGGATTGCTCTTCAATAACCAAGGGGCTTAAGGCCATAAAGCGCTGAAGCACCCGTTCTCGTCGGGACTGGTTAGCACCATGATGGGAGACCGTAATGGATAATGCTTTGAAATTATTAATCAGAATTCCAATTACTGTTGGGTTCGTTATATTCACACGCGCAAATAACCTTGGGAAAAGGTAAGAAAACATCTCTTCCCTCCCCAGGTATGTGTTAATTGTTAAGACTTTAATCACTCAAACATTATTATCTCAAAAAATAAAAAAAGTAAGATTTCTACAATCTAAAATCTGGCTTTAAATAACCTTCGGTAGGTTGAAAACGAATTAATCATTAGTCAAGAGTACGTACCAACTAATGATTTATCAGTGATTTTGTTAATATTCAACTCCTTCATCTATATAGTTATTTTCTAAACATAGCTTAGATATCTCACAAGACCGAAAGTATGGAGCACCTAGTGAGGATCGAGCTCACTTTTCAGTCGTAAATGATATAGCGACAAAAGCTTGCCAACCATTACACCATGCCAAGGTGCCCCTCCTTCATTTATATAAGAGAACTATATCTAATGTTCATCCAAAAGAGATGCAATTTCAGGTATTTTCTTATTTTTAAATCCCAGATGATATTCATAATATATAATTATAAACTTTAATTTTGGACAGTGAAAATTTCACTGAAATAAGTTTTGAAATTTTTCATGGTTTAATATGAAATTAAGAAATACGAAATTTAATCCAAATGGTCAAAATATATGGAAGAAATAACACCCTACTGGAGACAGGAGAATATGTGTTAAAATACATAGTTTAATAGGCAAAAATGAAAAGTGGAAACAAAAAAAGGGAAGAAAAATGAATAAATAAAATGCCTCTGACGTGAACATCAGATCCTATTTATGAACTTTGAGAGAGTTAAAAATTAAAAGGCGAAACGCCATTTTTGGTCACATGATGCATTTGAATCATAGAATGTTTAGAAACGGGAATACATGGAAAGTCATCGCAACTCGGAGAATTCTATACATATTTAGCATTTTTCTTGATCTGGTGTTGCCTCAATATTCCACTTGTTAATGATGTTAAGCCAAATATATACCCGATAAACTTGGGACTTAGGTCACAGCTGTGAGTGTCATGTGTGTAGTAGTTTGCTTCATTGATAGCCAATGGAAGTTGACTTATCGACATCTGTTGGCTGCTTTATTGGCAGTTACTCCTTGATGGCCGTTGAGAAATGCAGCGGAAAGACAGGAAATTCGTTATATCTGCTATTTAAAAAAGTAAGCCCTTTCCAGTGTTATGGAAAACGAATGACAAACAATACCGGGCTAGAATTCAACATTTCCTGCAACAAAATCGATACTGAAGATGCATTTTTAATGAGCTTGAATTTACAGAGATAAACGGAATTGTTGATAGGAAAGAAAATTACTATGAAATCCAAGAACTCATCAGAAATATGGAGAGGGAGAAACAGAAAACATGGAAGCAGGAAAAATCAAACAGCGACCTCGCTTATAGTTTCTGAAAACTTAAAAGCGTTGAAATCGATAAAATAACGAGTCTTGGCGTGTCTCTTCGGAACTTGAGCTTTCCATAAATTCCTATCCTTTATAGTTCTTAGTTAGATTTCTTTTTCCACCATTCCCTTGACTTCTTCTTTTGCCATCCATTTACAAAAGATATTTACGTTGGTTACTCTCTGTTTCTTTCAGTTCCTCTTGCCTTTAATTTGTCATGTGAGTATCAAATTCCCCAAACCCTCTTTTCTCATTACATGTTCTAGAAAATAAAAATATCATATGCCATAAAACAATCAAGCTGAGATTATCATCTCTAACGAATAAAGAAACATGAGGTAATGACGGAGAAAGTGAATAAGTTATTGCAGGATATTTGTATTCAGATTGGCAGAATTATCAACCTAATCTATTTAGTATTTACTGGATAATATGTTGAAGAAACTAATCACAAATGCTATGGTAATTTACCCATGCACGCATGGAAATTCTACCTAGGAGGTACTGACTTTTGGAGAGGGATGTTTCTTGTAAATAGATTATATTCATATTGTATATACTTATTGAGGTTAGTTTTTAAATTGTTGTTTTACTCCCTCCCCCAGAGACGAAGAATTGTACATATGGGGATTATTTAGGATTTTCATAGACAATAAGGTATTTTGGTGGATGTAGTAAGAAACGTAATAAGAGTGCGTTGTTTTGGTGTTAGAAATATTGTCTGTATGTTTGAACCAGTGTTTGTGGCTTACTAAGTTTAAAGTTAAGACAGATGAAAACCGTCCTTTTCCCCATCCCCCATGTTGGCCTTGTGCCACATTTTCAGTATTTAAACAGAAAAAAAATATCGGAAAGTTCCAGCAGTCAACTCTGACAGTCGGACCGAACATTCTTGCTGTAACACACTCGTTTATATATGTTTGTATTACTGTTTCTGTTAATATATTTGTTTAACTCAATTCCTATCTTTGTGTCTTTATTTATGGTCCTAACAAGGCCACAACACAACATAAAAAAGATGCAAAAACTGGTTGAGAGATGAGATCGGTACAACTAATAGAAAAATAACTCTGACAATTGAAATTACTAAAAGGGAAACCAAAATATATGGGAATCCAACCGACTGATGAAGAGGAAAACATAAAATGCTGCAAATAGGACAAGCTATTCTAAAGAAAGAAACAATTCAAAAGACGTTAGCTAAGGAAGAAAATGAAAAGATACGTTATACAGTACTACAATATAGGCAGAATTAAATGTAAACCAATGAAACCATTGCAAATCGATTGCAAAATTAGAACAACTTGATGCTACAGAGGTAAAATATTTGTGAAGAACACAGGAAGCAAAACCGAGTTACAGTCCAACAGAAATAATGAATTTCAAGTAAACGGTCAGAAACCGCAATAAATTTTGCAGCTTAAGAAGAATCCGAAAGAAAATCCTGAATGGAATTTATCAGGCCAAGACGGCTATTGCTTCTAACAGTAGCCATAAATGAGGGACTGGCAGAAAAGTTATGGAAATTCCTAAACGAAGCAAATTCATCCAAATAGATTGCGAAATAAAATCGTCTTTACCTATAGGCTTAACAGGCTGAAGACTAGATCCTCTAAATCTATGGGGCCTCCAGCCAAGGTGTATAATATTTTGCCACTCTTATAGGCCTTTCTTACAAATAAAGCATTGTAGACTCTAAATAACCCTTCAGTAATTTTAAACACCGTCATCATTCTCGGGTCTACTAAACTTGTTTAATTTAACACTTCCATTTTCCTCTACTCGTGAGAAGTAGAATAGCCTAAGGCCTCTCTTCATCTAAATCAGGCTCTGGTCTTTGATTAAAAAAAGAACAATAACATATAACTAAAGATTGATAACATGCATACCTATAACGTGGAAAGAAAGCTAGTATTCATTAGAAAGTTTCTTTCCCAGGAAGCAAAGAGTCATAAATAAATTCCATTCTTGTTTATCAAATTCATTCTTTAAAACGTAAAGTACAATTAGATTTTATTCAGTTAAGCATTCAGCATTATTTTCGATGACTTGTTGCCACTTATCAGAAACTTCTTGGTAGAATTTCAAAGGTTTGTTTCGAAAAAGGTTTTCGACGAACTAATGAATCCTTGTTTTTAGAAAGTTTCTCCATTAATGTTACTTGTAGCAATCAAAATAAGATAATAATCGGTTGGTGCAAAGTCAGGTGAATATGATGGTGTATAAAAGAGTATAATATGCCCAAGTTCCAAAATGCATAAGAGCTTGCATTATCATGAAGGATAACACAAATTATTCTATTAACGAGCGCACGCTACTTTTTGAGCAAGCTTTTATGGACATGTTGCAGCTGCTGGGTATATAAATATGCATTTAGTGTTTCATTGATTCTTAAGAACTCAATAAATTTAAGATCATCCGGACATTATTCAATCAACAATGCCCTGACGATCGCCAAACATTTTATTTCTCCAAATGAAGCTCAGCTTTTGCGGTCAGTTTTCAAGATTTATCCTCGTCAGCATTTTGCATTGATTATTGTCGTATGCAACGCATTTCTTATCATATGCAACGAACTGTTAGGTAGGATGAGACATTCATCATTTTAGTTTGTACATGAAAAAGAAGCTTTATTTTTCAATTTTCTAATGATGTAATTGGTTAGTACTTATGTATTTTGACGCATTTAACAATTTATACTTATTGTCTGACATACAAATTTACAATTAAATAAAAACATGTTCTAGAAGATCTCATAAAGTTCTAGAAGGCCTCAAAAATTCATAGTATTCTATACTTATATACGATTTTATAAAGTTCATGTTAGGATGGCATTTTAAAACATAAAGTGAATTAAAACCATCTTTATTATTTTTGAACAAAAGCTCTTCGAATTATGATACAGGTGATCAATTATTTTACAAAATGTCAAAAGTCATAATCCTAATATATATATATATATATATATATATATATATATGTGTGTGAGTGTGTGTGTGTGTGTGTGTGTGTGTGTTCAAATGGAAAAAGTAAAACTGTCAACTGCTTTCAAAAAGGATCCCAATCAGTTTTTAACTGGTGCAAGGAATGACTATCTTTTAATTACCATTGAGAATCTCTTCTTCATGCCATCATGATGGCTGATGCTATGCCCCAGGAGAGCAACCCTTTGCGTTTTCTTGGTCTTATGCTTTTCACTGACACGGAGTGGAGTGATTATACTGAAGCAATTTCTAGGTCTCCTACTTGGAATGTTGGTCCAGTGTCTCGTGCCAGACATTTTTTCTTGTCTAAATCCTTCTTGCATATTTATAAATCTACCATTCGTCCGAGCATTGGATAATGCTGCCATAGATAGTCAAGTTCTCCTACTTTATATCTTGAGATTCTTGAAAAAATTCAAAGAAGGGTCTGTAATGTGATAGGTCATGACCCGGCATCTCAACCTCAGTCACTTTCTCACTGACGTGACGTAGCATCCATTTGTCTTTTTTAAAAATATTTTCATGGTAACTCTACTGATAAACTTTCCTCTTTGGTACTTCAAATAGAGGAATTTAAGCGCCCGACTGGTTTGGCAATTCGGTTTCATCGTTTTACTGTTGAGCCACGTAGATGCCACCGTAGGTTCTATTGTAATAATTTCTTTTCTTTCACTTGTCGCTTGTGGAACTCTCGATTCCTTCTCACCTACCATCTACAATCTTCAAAAATTTAAATGCGAAACCAATCGACATCTTTTATCTTCTTGAATCCTCTTTTATTGTCCTTTCCCGCTATTACGGTCTTCACATTCTCTTTCCCGCTATTACGGTCTTCACATTCTCTTTTCGGCTATTACAGTCTTCACATTCTCTTTCCCTTTATTACGGTCTTCACATTCTCTTTCCCGTTATTACGGTCTTCACATTCTCTTTCCCGTTATTACGGTCTTCACATTCTCTTTCCCTTTATTACAGTCTTCACATTCTCTTTCCCGCTATTACGGTCTTCACATTCTCTTTCCCGTTATTACGGTCTTCACATTCTCTTTCCCTTTATTACAGTCTTCACATTCTCTTTCCCGTTATTACGGTCTTCACATTCTTTTTCCCGTTATTACGGTCTTCATTCTCTTTCCTTTATTACGGTCTTCACATTCTTTTTCCCTTTATTACGGTCTTCACATTCTCTTTCCCGCTATTACGGTCTTCACATTCTCTTTCCCGTTATTACGGTCTTTGCATTCTCTTTCCCTTTATTACGGTCTTCACATTCTCTTTCCCGTTATTACGGTCTTCACATTCTCTTTCCCTTTATTACGGTCTTCATTCTTTTCCCTTTATTACGGTCTTCACATTCTCTTTCCCGCTATTACGGTCTTCACATTCTCTTTCCCGTTATTACGGTCTTTGCATTCTCTTTCCCTTTATTACGGTCTTCACATTCTCTTTCCCGTTATTACGGTCTTCACATTCTCTTTCCCGTTATTACGGTCTTCACATTCTCTTTCCCTTTATTACGGTCTTCACATTCTTTTTCCCTTTATTACGGTCTTCACATTCTCTTTCCCGCTATTACGGTCTTCACATTCTCTTTCCCGCTATTACGGTCTTCGCATTCTCTTTCCCTTTATTACGGTCTTCACATTCTCTTTCCCGTTATTACGGTCTTCACATTCTCTTTCCCGCTATTACGGTCTTCACATTCTCTTTCCCGTTATTACAGTCTTCGCATTCTCTTTCCCTTTATTACGGTCTTCACATTCTCTTTCCCGTTATTACGGTCTTCACATTCTCTTTCCCTTTATTACGGTCTTCGCATTCTCTTTCCCTTTATTACGGTCTTCACATTCTCTTTCCCGTTATTACGGTCTTCACATTCTCTTTCCCTTTATTACGGTCTTCACATTCTCTTTCCCTTTATTACGGTCTTCACATTCTTTTTCCTTTTATTACGGTCTTCGCATTCTCTTTCCTGCTATTACGGTCTTCGCATTCTCTTTCCCTTTATTACGGTCTTCACATTCTCTTTCCCTTTATTACAGTCTTCGCATTCTCTTTCCCTTTATTACGGTCTTCACATTCTCTTTCCCGCTATTACGGTCTTCGCATTCTCTTTCCCTTTATTACGGTCTTCACATTCTTTTTCCCGTTATTACGGTCTTCGCATTCTCTTTCCCGTTATTACGGTCTTCACATTCTTTTTCCCGTTATTACGGTCTTCACATTCTCTTTCCCGTTATTACGGTCTTCGCATTCTCTTTCCCTTTATTACGGTCTTCGCATTCTCTTTCCCTTTATTACGGTCTTCACATTCTCTTTCCCTTTATTACGGTCTTCACATTCTTTTTCCCGCTATTACGGTCTTCACATTCTCTTTCCCGTTATTACGGTCTTCGCATTCTCTTTCCCTTTATTACGGTCTTCACATTCTCTTTCCCGCTATTACGGTCTTCACATTCTCTTTCCCGCTATTACGGTCTTCACATTCTCTTTCATTCTTAGTAACCCCCTGCATTTTGGTGGCATTGTCGCCTTTTTAGGAGTGAAATGGTTAAAAACAAAACTATCTTTGTTATTCCCCCTTGTTTTCATTTCTGTTTAATTTTAATTTTTACTTCTTTTAATTTTAATTTTTATTTATTTTAATTCTCAGCCCATTTATTCCTCGATTAGTTCCTTAAGAGTTAGGAATAAACCCGTTAGCTTTTGCATTTTCCTTTTTCTGTTTTGCTTCGGTATTATTCTTTCTTTTCTTTTTTTCTTTTACTTTTCCCCGATTATACTGCCATTAATATGTTAGCTTTGAAGGCTGTGTTATCATTTTGTAGCCCAACCTACAGAAAGACATATTTATAAAGGATTGCAGGATGAAGGGGAATTATCAGTTACACTTATTCTTAAGTCAATAGTTTTTTCAATGGAACACAGAGAAAATTTGCATGAGACCCAATAAGACGAAAAGAGAACGAGGAAATTGGGAAAAACATAAGTCGACGAAAAACTTTAAAGACATTTAAGAATGCAAATTGGAAGAATTGCATATGAAAGGACATGGACATGGAAAATCTAGAGAGAAATCGAATTGCCCTTAATAGCAGCCCAAAACAACGCCATAATAATAAATTATAGAAAGGCTATAATAGACAAAAACAGGAGAATAGCAAATACAGTTGATCTGGAGTTAAGAGATAAGAGCATCGATTATATATTAAGCTAACTAGCTCAGAAGAAAGTAGAAAAGCAGGTATTATTGAGTAAAATGTATAACCTCTTGGGAACTGTGTAAACGAATACGATTTGACCATGCAGACCATTGTATATATTCCATATTTTACAGAATAAGAAACACAAAAACCCTTGTGGTCAAATGGATCCCCCAGTCCAGATCAAAAGACAGGGTATAATTATCGTGAATAAAGCGTCAGAAGCGAACCATTCAATTATTGAAACTATTTCAGTAGGCCCGAGGGTAAAACTGAAAACAATAAAATTCTTGATGTAACAATAGTAACAGTCATGATTGAAACACTGCAGATGTTTTAGTGAAAAGACCCGAAGAACTAAAAATCAGAGAAAAATCGAGACCTTTCAGATAACAACATTATGTGACACTAGAATTGGGGCACCCACATAAAAGAAGGAGCACACATTTGGCTGAAGGGGAAGGAAAGAACAAATAAAAGACAGCATTTTGCGTCAAGTGCCAAATCTTGGGATTGGCGAATTCATTTCTCGTTTGTCCTTAGCGGGGAAAAGACCCTAGTCCCAATGACGTCCTTTCATACTGCCTGTCACACGTCGATATGTTGAGATGGGCAGAGGGTTATTAGCTAGGACAAGCTGAGTTGCTGAGACTGACGTGGCAGAAGTTGTCCCAAGTATCACATACCTACAGACCCAGACCGAGAAAGCGAATCCCTGAATGAAATAGCTAGATATATTGGAGACAGGATTCGGGTTATCTTCCCTCGACGTGGTGTTGGATATGGGTTGAGGAAATACCTTTGGCCTTACTTCCGAGTGGAAGGAAATCCGTGCATGTGTGGGCGTATGCTGGAAGAGGTGTGACCACACGAAATTGCGTAAGCGACATATCAGAAGAAGTCGTTGCCACGTGAAGTTCTGTAGGTGTCCAAATGTTATATAACCAGTCCGATGCTTGATCTGGACAGAGGGGCTGGCTAGATGTTTACCGAAGATTTGTCTCCGTCAATTCCTATGACCGCAATCCTAACCTATGTGATTTCACCTCATTCTACTCATTCGCCGTAACTCGAACAATAAAGATATTTACATATTTCATATATGTGTGTGTGTGTGTGTGTGTGTGTGTGTGTGTGTGTGTGTGTGTGTGTTCGTCACCTCATTTGAGCCCAGCAGCAATATACCACAGTGGCGTCTATTTTCATCTTCCGTTAACTTTCCCCGATTTTGGAACAAACCATCTTGAAAGAGAATGGAGACGCAACGTGGGCTCCTCATTTTCCGGTCGGCCAAAAGGTAGGCGAGGGTTAATTATTGAAAACGATTAGATTACTCTGGAAGAAATGCGGAGAGATTTTGTAACACAATGTTGCGCAAAGACAATCAGTAGAATATAATTTATGCACTTAAATATTTGAGTATCAGTATATACATAGCTGTAATCATTAAAACTAAAATAGTTTAAATAAGAACAGGTTATGATTATCTATACGAACACAATTTTAAGACTTTTTCAATCGGTATATTCGAAATAATTGAAGATTTGATTCGGATTGTCTTTAAACAATACATTTGTGGGAATTGAATCTTCTAGCAGAATTTGATTCCATAGAGATAATAAAAAAGAATTAATTGCATGATTAATAATATAAGAAATTAAATTTATTTTTTTTTCTGACAGAATTTATTTTTTAATTTAATTTAATAGTTATCTATTACGTTCATACCATGTCGAAACACCAGTTTTAGTATTAACGAAGTTGAGCAACGTTCAGCCTGATTGGTTGATTTTGTTTAGCGGCATATCCATTTCTATGAGTTATTTTATGCCGACGTCTAAATATTTTGAATACAATTTTGTGGCTTCAACTAAATATAGCTGGAACGCAATTATATGCCTTCAACTACAGTGGTCATTTTGATATAAAATATATTATTGATAATTTTTTATATGAAAATATAGTGCTGGTATTTTTACTATAAAAATGTATTTTCAAACTTTTATAGTGTTTAGTTTTTTGGGGGTGTTCACAGCTACATCCCCGGATCAGAGTGAACTCGGGATCATCCACAAGAGGTGGTTCCACGCTTCTCAAGACCTCCAATCTCCCGATCAGAGGCCTTTCTTCCAGATGTAGTTTATCGTCATACCCAGGACTATTGAGCCTGATCAGTACTAAGATGGGTGGCCGCTTAGGAATACCAGATGCTGTAAGCTTAAATGTGCTCGTGCTGTGATGGATAACGGCTCGGAATGAGAAATCGGAGAGCCGAAATTGAATTCCAATTGAATTCGTTACATTCACTTATACGTAAATACCATAAGGAAATGTGTGAAACCATATTCTCTCCCGAACAACTCTGGGTTAAATTCTTCTACTTTGGGAATTTTCCTGTCATGTCAGTTACCAATCGAAAAGAGATCTGATGACATAAGCGTACATCAGGAATGTCATCTGAGGAAGGTAGGAATGCTTATCGACACGGGAAGTTGAATCAACGAATAGGCTTCTGGCATTCATTGCGTTCATTTGTCGCACTAATGCCCCTGCAAAAACATGAATCCGTCTCTTCAAGGCTCTTTCAAAGAATTAAATTAGACCTCATATATCCAGTTTGAGACTCTACAATCCCAAGCTCGTCGCCTCTAACCACAAAAAATGACCCTTTAAAAATCACCATGACCATTGGTCTGTATCAAAGATGGATACCCATGTGGCAGAGATTTCTCATTAATGTACTTTTGCGTTATATTCCTTCGTACGGTTCTAGGAGGAAGAGTTGATTCTTTTTTCTACGGTTTATCCACCCTTTTTAGGTTATTTAAAGACAAAAAAATTAGAGTGTAACAATTCCTTTACAGATAATTATTTAGTGATAGAAACTTTACTAATTGACATATAGATAGAGGGAGAAGAAGTAGATTCATACATTTCCCAAGGGCATTTGCACATAAATGAATATAAAAAACCTAACAGAAATTGAAACTCGGCTCTTCGATTAACAATTCGGAGTCATTATCCATGACACCACCCGAAGCTCACAGTACCTGATATTACTAAGCGGTCACCCATGTAGATACTGACTAGGCTTGATGTAGAAGTTCGAAACCACGGAGAAGGCAATTGGAAGCCAATTCACTATCTTTCCCAAGGAGTCATAGTAATTCAATTATTATAAAGAAACGGGAGCTTGGAGGACGATGATCACCTATTCGCTGAACTGGTATGGTATTAAAATAATATTTATGAATAAAGATAATGTGTATTACACATTTATCTTTTTGTAAAATTTCATCAAATATCAAATAATACATTTTGGTTTGGAAAATAATTCGTATTTCGTATCTGTGTGGGGAAAATTTTTATATAAAACTCAGAGAACAATAGAATTGACTTTTAAAGTTTACATAAAACATGGAGAACAATAGGATCGGCTTTTAAATATCGTAAAAATAACTATAGAATAACGTTAATATTCATAGAATAATAAACTAATATAAAATAACCTAATATTTCAGTCATTGCGAGTTTTCTTTTCATTATTTCTATTAAATTATCATATTATATGTAGATGCACGCGTAGCTTAATGATTGTTTTTTTTTTAATCTGGCTGTCTAGCCACCATCCAAACATAAACTAATATAATTTGCTTTTGCATTTCACATGTTTTATAACTTATCACTCATGATCGCTTAAAATAATATGTAAATATTGAACCACTTCTTTGTCATGAAGATGATGAGATTGACTTCTAACTATACATCATATTTAACTTATAAAAATATATAACTTCATGGACGACCACTATGCGGTCTTGAAATCGACTGCCCAAATAAATTCGTTTCATTCTACGATGTGTATTTGTATTCAATCACTCTCTCCACAATGTCAGGTTGTGACACAAGGTCGGTTTTAATGTGGGGAGCCCAAGGCTGTACACCCGGGCTAGGAATAAAAATTGTCCGAGCCTCCACAACCGTTATTTGCGCTGGCCTCGCTGCGGGCATCGATACCTCTCTTTAGTGCAATGAGCGGGTGCAGCCTCGGGAAGTTGTTCCCCAGGGCTGGGCACCTCTCAGTATAATTTTCCTCAGTTGCGACACTTTTTTTGACGGAGCCGCCCTTGAGCGCACTCTGCCCGAACACAGAGACGCAATTGGATGTTGATAAATAGGGTTTTACAAACTACTCGAGAGAATAATTTACACACTACGATGTGTATTTGGTATTGGTTGCTGTT